TAGACGGTTATACTGCAACCAACACCGCCGATGAGTGTTGATAGTAAGCAGTTCTTTAGATGCTTCCTCGACTTCCACTTGCAAATAAGCATCAGCTAGGTCCAGCCTCACGACGGACTTTCCCCATTCAGCATAGTGAACAGATCCGCGGGGACTGGCAGAGGACAATGATGCTGTTCTAGAGCTGCGTTGAGACCTGTAGAGAAGTCAGCACATATACGTATCGTGCCGTTGGCCTTCTTGATAACGAATATAGGTGCTGCCCAACTGCAGTAAGAAACGGGAGTAATAACTCCTTGTCGTTGCAGGCGATCCAGCTCTTCATCTACTGTTGCTAATGTAGCATACGGTACAGGTCTCTTTGGACGAAAAGCAGGCTTAGCCCCATGTTTCAATCGAAGTGTTGCTTTCATAGCAGTGCACCGACCTAATCCAGGTTCAAAAATCGTTGAAAACTCTGTCATCAGCTTCTTCGTATACGCTTCTGGGTCATGTCGTTGTGATACCAGGTTGCATATGGTATTTAGCGGGACATCAGCCAATTTTAGCTGGTCGAACCAATCTAAACCAAGTAAATTTAGATCAGCTGGCGTTATATAGCATACCCCAGTAAACGACGAATCACGGAAAGCAACTTTACATTCCAATTGTCCTAACAGACGAAGATAATTACCACATGCTGTGCGAGGCTTTTGTGTTGTGTGCTGCAGGCTTGGGCTGCCCAACTTGGTCCAATTTTTGCGTGAGAGGATAGTGACATCAGATGCAGTATCTATTTGCATTCTACACAAATAACCGTTAATATTAAGAGTAATAAATTTCCTCTCACATGGTGATGAGCTTTGGCAGGAAGATATTAGGCTCAAAGCATTGGTACTGGATCTAGGAACAGGCTTCTTAGCACTTCTGGATCGCTTTGGCTTTTTCTGTAGGAAAAAGCCATCTTTATGACCGATGACTTTACAACTCCTGCATCTATGCTGCCTAAATGGGCAGTTCCGTACATAGTGCCATGAACCGCAGTGCCAGCAAGCAGAAGGTGGATTCATTTTGGGTTTTTGGGCCGAATTGGAATTTTTCTTTTCACTAATGGAATGCACGTATGATGAGAGGCCCTTGTTTTCGCCCATGGAGGTATCATGCTTCAAGTTTACTAATCTCTGGCACTCTGCAGTTATTTCTTGAAGCGAGATGTTTGGGCACTGTTCAATTTTACTTAGGATTCTGGTTCTTATATCAGCATCGTCGGGAGATTGTAAGCTGCACACAAACACAAGGCACTTAAACTGATCTTCCGTCATTGATGATAATTTAAATCGTTCGCATTCACGATTTACTAAGCCAGCATGCTTTACCCAGTCATCTTCATTTGACTTGATTATTTTGAGGCATTGATAACGAATATTAAAGAGAGATGACTGTTCAGAGAAGATTTGCGACAGCGTATCAATTGTAGCATCAAAAGAGAAATCTCGTGGGTTCTTTGGGAGGATGAAATTACTATAACGTTCGTGTTCGATTGTGCCGAGCTTTCTCAAAAGGATTCTGACTTTGGTGGCGTCATCAAGATTGTTGAGGTCGACCTTGAACAAATCCTCATACTTCTTAAACCAAGACTCGAAAGTCACACCAGCAAGGCCATCAAAATGAAATTCATGAATGGAATTAACTATCGAGTCTGTATGCGGATTATATGAATCATCGGCAAAACCTCTGTGATTCAAATTCATTTGTTTCATTAACAGCTCCAACATACGTTCCTGAAACTGTTCATATCGTTTACCTTGACGTTCCAGTAAAGATTCTAACTGTTCAAGATTAATTGACATTGTGAATTGTGAGCCCCGTCGCCACTGATATGTTTTGTGGATATGGTTTTTACCCCGTCGCCACTGATATGTTCGTCACTTAGGATGCTTGATGCTATTACGAGTTTACCTTAGTCGATAAACGCGAACGATGCTTTTACCAGCTTCCAGGAAGGCTACCTTGAATCCAACGGTAAAACAGAAGTCTTGGTAAGCGTAGAAAGTATATTCTACAAACACCCAGCAATCCAGTACAATCAAGCATACAACTCTCGTTTATTTATACAACATAACAACGTCCTTGAGACAGTTAAGAAAATAGCATACTAAAATACACTGTGGCCAATCACAGCCATTGATTTTCCTGGTGGGAGTTGAAATCTCAAGGTCATTTGATCAGCCCCTGCTGGCGAACGTGAAAACCGAAATACGGCATTATCAAGCGAATTTTGGGGATCTAACATCCCCAACAAAATTAGATGAGAGCAATAGTGATTGACTTGTGTGCTTTCTACTGATCATATATCACCTAGGCAGCCATACTTGTGTGAATAGTGCAAATCCTTATAAATGTGCAACATTCACATTTTAATTCATCATTACTCCATGAATAATGTGTGCATAGTTTTAAGGTCATATCAGTGATTTTGAAAAGTACAAGTATTGCCTGATTGATTATTATTCACAAAATGCATAAGCGTTTATTCATCATAGTTTAACTCTCCCTGATCTGTGACGATTTCACTCATCATATTCACTGATATGACCTGCAAACTAAATCCAGTCCGGTTTCCAACATTTCAATCAAGAATATACAATGAATGTTAGCATGAAACCAGCGTGGTAGAGCATGGATTTTCATTGAAGGCTGTCAAAGCAGAGTGGAATTCTGTTTCATTTTATGAAATCAGATATCGAAACCAACATCAGTATATAGTAATACGAGGAGAATGTGAACACGTAGTTCATAGATATGAGTTATTGTTGCTAGAAAAATGTGCGCCGACGGTACTCATATATTAACAGGATAATGCAAGCAAGGATGGCAGGTGGAAGAAATGTTGCATGGAATGACATATGGTATGTACACACATCATCATCAATCACTGACATTTTACTTGAAGACACACGTACGGAAATCTATTTTATATAATACCACATTCTTACAGTATTTTCACTTGCAAGATTCAGTCCGTAATTGTGAATTTTCCAATCACCTGAAGTAGTCTAATGGTCTCTTCATTTTCGGCAATTCGACTCACAAGCATCTCTTCATAAGATTCTACTGTATTGTTCAAAGTTCAGGTGATACAAAACGCGAGCTCCTACCGAATTCGTAAGGTAACATTATCCATTTGAAGTAGGCTTTTCACTGCACCGTCGAAACTGTCATTTGATTCGGTCGTAAATGCGTGGGAACAAACGGTGAAATGATCAGATAACAAATTGCCATTATGACTTTTCATGTTCAACACTCTCAACAACAACCGGTCACGCATTCACAGACGAAAAACAATGACACTTCAGGTTTCTAAATAATATTCCACGATGATTAATTCAGAAGACGAATATGAACAATTGATGCGTTTCTATAATCGCACCTCAACGGTCACAAAACTGAAGCATACGAAGCGAAAGCGATAGGATGGGCCAATGCCGAGGAGTAAATCACTGTAGTTAGGATTCATGCACATGTTTATTAAATAGGATATTGAATGAGTTATCAAATCACTTGAACGATTACCGTTACAGCTAGAAGCATGAATAGATGCTTAGTGGTGAGCACTGTTCTAGCGTACATTGTCGTGCACCGTGACAATAAAAAATGCACAATTTTGACGTGGTTGCATGTGATTTTCAACCTCAATGTATGATCCTAGTTTCCTGTGTACACATTTGTCGCCTGATGACAGGGAATGCCGGTTTCATTTTCAAATACCGACATCAGTTTAATGCGTCATATTTTCGAACGAATGATTCTTTAGATTTTATTTTATGTACATGAGAGTACATTGAGTGTGAAATGCTGTCTATCAGTTACTAGTAGTCGTCTAGTCATTGTTCATCGGTCTGATTACCTATTATTCTTTTTGTTTCAGCCAACCTATTTATTGATGGAACCCATGACCAGTATGTGACGGATGTAGATATCACTTCGTTTGTCAACTGATATAAGAAAACTGATATCAGTGACTAACGAAAGATTGTCATCTTTTACGACGACATACACACATTTGTGTCCGCCTCTCAGTGAATAAATATGTTGCGTCATTTGACTTCCATTATTCACTTGAAAATATTCAAATTATTAATGTTATTCATGGGCTGATCAGTTAACTTTGAGATCACATTTCCCAGCCGGAAATTCATTGACTGTTTCTGTTTGATGTGTTAGTTTTTACGCTATTTTTGTGGCTCTCCAGAAAATGTCTCTGTGATAAATAAATCAACTCGATTTGTGTGCTTAAATACCTTAAATTTGCTGGATGCTTGAAAAATGCACATTTTACACCATATCAATACCTGTTGACATCGTTCAAGCTGATCAACTGACGAGCATATCAAAATCTACCTGCACACGTATTTGATAATAATATAATTACCTTCATATTTTTTTGAGGTAGCAAAATCAAGAGACATTAGTGAATTTGCGCTTGACGTACAACTTTTATTTTATTTTATTTTATGTACATGAGAGTACATTGAGTGTGAAATGCTGTCTATCAGTTACTAGTGACCGAGGTCGGTTAAACCCAATCGGGCCTTCTTTATCCGAGCTGCGATTTCGTCAGTCATCAGGCCATCAGCACTGATGAGACTCCCAAGATAAGTGAAGCGGTCTACACGTTCGAGTACTTCACTCCCTATCACTAGTTTAGGTGCCGATGAAACCCAGTCTTGAAGCAACATTTTGCATTTCGAGGGTGAAATCCGCATCCCGAACATGTTTGCATTGTTGCTTAGGGTAGTCAGAAGACTCTGCATTTTGTAAGCGTCTTCACCAAGTACGACAATGTCATCGGAATATTCTATGTCAATAAGCGTGCCACCTGGTAGAAGGTCTACTCCTGAAAATTCAGACGAGGATAAGGTTATTTCTAGGAGCATGTCTATGATGTCTACGACAAAGTTAAACAAGAATTTAGAGAGTGGACATCCCTGACGGACACCACTTGACGTAAGGAATTCCGGTGACAGTTCGCCATAAGCTGTCAGTCGACCAGTGGTGTTCGAGTGGAGAGCTTGTATGAGGTTAATGTACTTTTCTGGTACACCTTCCAATGATAGACACTGCCACAGAACCTCACGATCCACTGAGTCGAATGCCGCCCTAAGGTCCATGAAGACAACTATTGTAGGACGCCTCAATATGTATGTGTGTTCCAGGACCTGTCGTAGTGTGAAGATGTGTTCTATACAGCCACATCCATGTCGAAAACCAGCCTGGTTTTCTCTAGTCTGCTCTTCACGAGTTATGGTTAGGCGTCTAAGTATAATCGAGGCTAACAATTTAGAAACTATATTAGTCAGACTTATTCCTCTGTGATGATTGTCACAATAAGACTTTTGTCCTTTCTTATAAATTGGGACAATCAAGAATTGAGACCAGTCGGATGGGATTGTGTCCAGTTCCCAGATTCTACCTAGGTATAGCATTGAGTTCTAGGCATATATATCTCTGCTAGACTGGATCCCAGTAGTTAGTCGCCTTAGCGCTGTCCGACTAAACGAGACAGTACGGACTAGGAAATATGCGTACACTCGCCGATGCGGTTTCCACCTCAAAATGCAAAATGTGGCTTCAGGATTGTCTTGTATCGGCACCTGAACTAGTAGTAAGGAGTGTAGACCGCTTCACTTATCTTGGAGGTTTCATCAGGGCTGATGGCCTGACGCGTGGCGAAATCTCGGCACGGATACAGAAGGCGCGATTGGTTTCTGTCAACTTGAATCACTAATGGCGTAGGCGAGATATCCTCTTGCTAACCAAAGGTCGAGTGTACTGTGCAGCAGTTCGCTCCGTTCTACTATATGGTTGCGAAACATGGCCAGTAAGGGTAGAAGATATTCGTAGGTTACTAGCATTCGATCACAAATGTCTTCGAAGCATTACTCGAGTATCGTGGGACAACCGAGTAAGCAATGATGTTGTTAGGAAACGAGTGATCGGTAAGGATGACAGATCATTAGATGAAGTGGTGAAACTTCATCAGTTCATGTGGTTGGGACATGTGTGACGAATGCTCAACCACCGACTGCCTTGATGATCTATGTTTTGTGGTGTAGGAGTAGGTTGGAAGAAAGCTAGGAGCGGCCAAACTGAAACATGGCAGAAATCCATGACGTCACTGAGAGGTGGAATGAGTCATGTTGGTAGATGTAGGCTACCTGGTTGGGGTCGGCGAGACGATAGTCACTGATGGTTAGAGACCTTGAATGACATGGCTTAGAATCGTTCGCAATGGCGCAGGTGCATCCACTATTGTAGGACGCCTTAATGTTTGTCTGTGTTCCAGGACCTGTCGTAGTGTGAAGATGTGGTCTATACAGCCACATCCATGTCGAAAACCAGCCTGGTTTTCTCTAGTCTGCTCTTCACGAGCTTTCGTTAAGCGTCGAGTTATTATTGAGGCCAATATTTTAGAAACTATATTAGTTAGACTGATTCCCCTGTGATTGTCACAAGAAGACTTTTGTCCTTTATTATAAATTTTGACGATCAGTGATTGAGACCAGTCGGATGGGATTGTGTCCAGTTCCCAGATTCCACCTAAGATCTCAGTCAACCTAGCTGCTAAAACTGGACCACCATCCTTAAATATCTCAGGGGTCAATCTATCAGGACCTGCAGCTCGTCCTCGCTTAAGATTTACTAACTCTTTCTCAACTTCACTAAGACTAGGGGGACTTACGTCGATTTGCCATTCAGGATGACTGGAGATCGCGGGTAACCGAAGAGTGGCTCGAGGCCAGTTAAACGGATCCCCAAATTGTTCTGCCTATTGATCCAGTCTCCTGGATTGAGAATAAATAACAGTCCCATCATTTTCTGAGATAGTCTCACTTACACTAGTATTCCTAATACTAGTTTCCTTGATAAGTCGGAAAATTTGTCTAGTGTTCCCTATCGCCGCTGCCTTTTCCATCTTCCTCGCTTTCTCCACCCACCACTGTTCTCGATCATTGCGTAGGCTTTTTCTCAGCCTACGTCTAAGCTGACTTCGTTCTTCA